TATTTTATTAGTATAATTGCTTCAATCTTAATTTTAGGTCTCTTTGCTCAATGATCAGTGGTCATTTTTACAACAAAAAAACTCTTTATTTGCTTTAATTAGTACGCAGGTACTCTTTATTTGTTTTAAGTAAACAAACAGTTTTTGTTTATTGTAATTAGAACAAAGAAGGTGCAATTGACCATTTTTAAGCAAAAGAAGAGTTTTAAGACAAACACTTTTATAAAAATGCAATTTTAAGTAAGATTAACATGCATTTCTCCTATATGGATCAAAGCTTGATTAGTAAACCATAACTTCAGAAAATCATATTTTGAAAACTACTCGGTATATTTTTTTGAAAATTTGGATCACAACTAATGAAGAGCTGCTCTACACGATGGTAATGATGAAAAAAAAATTACTCGTAGGGTTTTTCATAGATTATTTCGATTTACTTCGAACTTCATCGAAAAGTGTTAGAAAAAAGTTTGCCAATATTCAATTTCAAATTTTATAGCATTCTAAAGGGCAAGGCCATCCCTTTAGAATGGTTTTTATTTGAAGGAAATCGGCATAATAGTTATTGAGTAATGATTTTTTAAAGTTAAAGTATTTTAAATTCATTTAAATTAGAAAAAAAAAATATTTTGTTCAAAGTGTGGGTTACTGCATTTGATTTGTCTCACTGAGACGAACAAAATGATATAAAATTTGTCAAGTTGTCACATGACTTTTTTTGTCGCCTTGTGTAATTGACGCACTCGCCACGTTTGTGTTTTAGGGAAGAAAAGACCGAATTATTGGCAGAATGTCGGGAAGAACTCGAACATGCAACCGCTTTAGTGTCAAAATTAAAAACCGAGGTAATTTAAATTGTCAGTTTACTTTGATAATGCTTGTTTTTGATTTAGAACAGCGACTTGATGGTGGAAGCGAGACGCGCCAAAGTCTACCAAGACGAAATGGATGCGATGCGCGAGCGAGTCGAGCGAGCTGATCGTCTAGAATCGGAAATTCAACGTTACCGTGAAAGACTGGCCGATGCTGAATTCTATAAAGTTCGCGTTGATGAACTACGAGAGGATAATCGAGTTCTTTTAGAAACACGAGAAATGTTGGAAACACAACTCGCCAGAGCGAGGCAACGAGCTGAACACGTTCTAGAACTCGAAGCCGAACTCATGGCTAGTAAACAAAATTTCAACGAAATTTTACTCGTAAGTCTAATCCTTTCATGATGTTTTTTTCAGTACTGAATGCGAGCGCAATTTTAGTTGGCTTGGATGCAAGAAAATAGAGCCTGTTCTAATTTCTTGGATGAAAGCTTGCTAAAACTGCGCACTAAAAATGCGCATTAACAAAAAGCGTATGTAAAATCAGAAATATTATAACAGACGCTTTACGAGCTTTTGTCTAAAACTAGAAAAATGTTCAAGGGTAATTTTTTGAAATTGTGTTTATGCTACCCCGCCCTATTATCAAAAGAAACGTATTAAGTCCCCCACAATATTATAAATTTTTAAAATCAACAACTTATTGCAGAAAATCCGTTATTATTTGTTATTGTTTTCAAATCGATAGTTTATCTTCAAAATGCATTTTCTATTAATTATTTACTTTAATATCTAATTTTTAATTTAATGAACCGAGTTTGTAAAATAAAGAGTAATATTGCAGAATTTGTCAACTAAAATATGAAAAATGTAACAAAGAATAAATATAACAAAATAGCACAAATTTTAAAGTAATGCTAAATCAATAAGTGGAGAATTAACTAACGTCCCTCAACATTTTTTAAATAGTTTCCTCAATTGAATGGAATTTCAGATACATGTTACGTAACAAAATTCCAAAATATTTATTTTTTTAAAGCTAACTAATGTAGTTTTTTTAATACCAGACATTAAACTGCAATTTCATTTAGCCTATTTCAACGTTCAAAAACGGTTGGAGCTAAAAATCTCTTGAACATTCTCTTCAAGAAAATTTTATTTTCTACAACCCCTTGATTGTATTCGTTGTAAATCTAACGTATTTCGATCTTTTCAATTAAATTCGCAAATGTTAAACTTGGCTTTAAATTTTATATAACTTATTTAAGAATACTTTCATATGAAATATCTGTAATATTTTTTCAGGATTGTAGGGAATTGAATGTCCCGGTATTTCAGTACTTACGTGTCATACAGAACTTCTAGTAAGTTCAACTAATTTCGATACTAAATTTGCGCGCGCAATTTCAGTACTAAATTCAGTACTGAAATTAGTCTCGGGTCAGTCAGCTCTAAGGGTTGGCTATGGAAATCCAGCAATTTTCACTGTCTAAGTGCGTCACTAAAAGGAAAAAATTAGTAAACTTGAAATTCATTATTTTTCTCTTTATGTAAATGGACCAAAATTTCTTGAGGAATTCTTCCTTCAAGCAAAACTGTTAACGATAAAACGTATTTTTTTATGTTTCAATTTGCAATTTACAACTTTTTGAATGTGACCAATGAAAAGGAATCAAGTAACAATATGTATAAACATTGATAATTATCAATGTTGACAGATGCGATCAGGAACGACGCAAGTGTAAGAAATCAAAATATTAATTTAAAATGTTTTACAACAAAAGAACTACAAATAATTAAACCATAGTTAGGTCTAATAGATTTATTGATTACAGATATTTATAATTCTATAAAAAAATATCGATTTTAAACCAATTGTCACTTATACCTTAATGTTAATCTTGTTAATCTAATTAAAGATTTCTTCAGAAATCGAATTCGTTTATTAGAATTTGCATTGGACGTTTGTCTTTTCCAAATTGCTCTGTTTTCTTTCGTAAATTCGAAAGCAGGAATAAAACCAACGATTACTGAGATCTAACACTTTATTATTCTTATTAGAACGGCAAAACTATTTTGAAACATTTCGTCACAAATTACACAAATCTGCTTATTTTTTAATAAGTAATGATTATTTACATTCACCGACGGCACTATTTTGACACTGATAAGAAAAAAAATTATTAGAATGTTTTTGATCACAAAATACTAGATCCATTATCTTAAGCAAATTCTAAGGAATTTTTTTGATTCGGTCAATTGAAAGATACAAAATACAATAAAACAAAATTATTGAAAAATATTAATATTCATACACGTAGGAATCGCCACATGCGGTAAATTCTGAACAGAAATATACAAAAAAATGCGTAAACGCTTTTCTCAGTGGTGGTTTATTGTCGAGAATCGCATTGGCTCTGACCTGACCTGAATTTCCGATCTAAGTGACCTGTGACTTGAATACTAAGTTGGCAACACTGACTTAGCTTATGTCAGATGACGGGTATGCCGGCGGTCGCCCCTTGGAAATTAATGACAATTGACAAAAGTGTGACGTTGAAATTTTATAGTTTATGTTGCCAACTTAATTTCAGAATGATTACACACTCTAGAAATCTTTTTTCTTAAATTCTTCTTAAATAAAATTTTTTTGTTATAATTTCTTGTATTTACATTGGTTATGTGTTTTTTCATTTGTTTGTGTATTTTTATTTTGTATTAGTTCGCTTGTTTAAACTATTCTACATTATAGACTGACGTCTGTTGGAAATAACCATATTATTGTTATCATTATTATAAAAAAAATATATATTTTTCGACAATTTCCTGCTTTAACAATTGATTATTTTAGCTTTTTTGTATTTTTTAAATGACATACAGGGTGTGTCAAAACTCGCGCCCCAGAGAAAAATTTCTTGTAAGATAAGATATGACGAACATGGAAAATATGTTAAAAAATTCTGTCAAAATATTTTGACATTTATTTTTTGATATTTGGCATTTTTTATGTCTATTTAATGATACTGATGATCTTGTATATGTTTTTTTTTAATTATTTAGTAAAGGTACAAAAATTTTGACAATAGAAGCCACAAATAACCTTAAACAGAGTTACAATTTAGGATAAAGCTTCCTTGTTTCCTCTTTTAATAGCCTGTAGCAAAAAAATTTTTAAAAATTATTTTTCCATCAGAAATAAATAGTCAAATTGCAAAATTTAAACTTTGATAAGTTCGAAATTTTCATAGATAGAATTTTTTTAACATTTTTTCCATGTTCCTGGTATCTTACCATACATATGGCATTTTTTTCTGGGAAGCGAGTTCTGGCGCACCCTGTACAATTTAAAATAGAGTAGAATGTCCATTTTGTTTTCAAATGTCGATTAATTATTTAAGAAAAAGTAAACCCATACACAGTTTTTCAAGTTTACATTTGTTTTTTTTATATAAAAAATCATAAAAATATGAGTCAAAAATTTTTGCCATTTGACATTTTTTAATGTCTATTTACTGATACTGATAATCTTGTATATATTTTTGCATAATTATTTAATACAAAAGTACAATAATTTTGCCAATAAAAGCCACAAATAACATTAAAGAAAGTTACAATTTAGGATAGAGCTTCCTTGTTTCCTCTTCTAATAGCCTGTAGCAAAAAAACTTGAAAAATTATTTTTCCAACAGAAATAAATAGAGTCAAAGTGCAAAATTTAAACTCTCAATTTCGAAATTTTTATAGATTTAATTTTTTTAACATTTTTGCGAGTTCTGGCGCACCCTGTATTTCTGAGAAATTAGTTACTTATTATTTGATATAAAAAATATAAGTTGGTCAAAATGATTTGTATTTTGACCCTGACAAGAAATGACATTTTATGCAGTTTGTCCAACTTAAAAAACAAATCATATCCATTTCTTTCTTATCCAAAAACATGGTGTGCTAAATCCGTATTTAAATGTGTAATAATTTTTAGGAAAGAGACGCCGCCAAAGAAAAAATCCAAGAACTCATCGACGAAAACCTCCAATTGCAACAAGTAACAAAAGCCGCGTTGCAAGAAACGAGTACTTTGAACGCTGCTGATTTGGAACATGACGAAACGAATTCTGGTGATAATAGTTTATCGGAACAACTCACAAACAACGCTCAAGCACGTGCCTTGAAACTCGAATTGGAAAATAAAAAGTTATTATCAACGATTGATTCGCTCAAAGAACGAAGTTTCCACGAAAATGCAAACAAACTACTCGATCTGGAAAAGGAGAAGAAGAAACTTATTCTAAAATGTGACCAACTACAGGAGAATTGTGACCGATTGACACAACAGAACGAAGAACTTGAGAATTTATTCAAAAACGCCATGCAAGAAAATCGAAAATTGCAAGATAACATCGATACGATTAAAGTCTTGTCTGAGAGACACGTTCAAGATTTGCAAAATGAACGCGGGAAAGTTTCCGAACTTGAGAAAAATATTGAGTCGTTAACGAAGGAAAAACAAAGGGTTCAAGTGTTGTGTGATACGATTAAGAAGAGAGCAGACAATGCGGAAAAATCCTTGGGACAAATATCGGATCAGTTACAAAATACACAAACACAAGTGCAACAGTTGGCACAACTGGAGCAACTTTCGAACGAACAGAAAGACAAAATCGTGGCATTGGAAAAAGAAAATGCTAATGTACAGAAAGATGTGATTAAATTTAAAGAATTGCTCGAGGTAAGTGTTGAAAAGTGAGGAAGTTTTCTTTTTTTTGATAGACTCAAAATCCAACACAAATTAAGCGACAGTAAAAAAGTGATCTAAGTCGTGAAAGAAAAAAAAGAGCTTTTAAGCACTGGTTGTGACATATACCAGATTTCAGCGACTTTTGTCTACTCCCGAACTTTCAATTTCTATTAAAAAAAACAAATAAAAATATGTAGGAACTTGATGTAAGCGTCACAAGAGCATCAAAACCGGTTACATAATAAAATAAATACAGGGTGTTAAAAAAAGATTGGTGATAGTATGGACCAAAGTAAAAATTTTTTTTTGTTTGAACAGATCTCAGAAATTGTTACTTTGCGGACCCATGACTTTTTTGTTGTTTTGGTCTATACTATTACCTCCTGAAATGATTTACAATCTTTTTTTAACAGCCTGTATATGTGTAATGGTAGTCAGCAATTCAAAGTGGCGTTTTTTGATGAATTGTCAGTTTTTTTTAATTATAATAAAGTGGTCATATTTTTTTAGATTTTTTGATGTTTTAAAAGTGAAAAAAAAAGGTCTATTATTACTAATTGTGAAATATACCAGGCTTCTAGTGCAAAATAGAGAAAGTACAATGTTGCCAACATTATCTTTCATTAAATGGACACTTCTATTATTCTTATGCTCATACTTATAGTAGTTATAGTATATCGAAAATTAAAAAAAATCCCTGACACATAAAACTACAAATCAATTTTTTTTTAATAAAACTTTTTTTTTTCATTTCTTTACTTTTTCAAATGATATTTTCTATATTTTTTCCATAAACTTATATGTTTAATTAAATTTCAAAAACATCTTTGCAAGTATTGGTACGAAGGTGTCAAGTTATTGTTTTTTTTTTTGTAAAATTTTGAGAATATGTTCCGCTTTGACTTAACTTTTTCTAGCGTCTTTATTGTTAATAATAGACAATAAAATTTTGTACATTAGTAAAGAAAGTTTTGCTTTATTGTCTAATGTACTTTTGATTTGTTTTCACTAATTAGAGGTATTTGTATTTTACTACAAATTCTTTTTTTTAATGTACATTTAGACAATTAAGACTTGTCTTCCAATTAATTAAAATGATTTTTAAAGTAATTTTCATCATTAAAAATAATTAACAAAACAGTATTATTGTCTAATTTAATTCCAGACCAAAGATGTGAAACTAGACGAAGCTGTAGTAGAATCGAAAAAACAAGAGAAAGACTTACAAAAACTGACGAAAGAAATCGAAAATCTCCGTTCCCAGCTTGAAAAATTGCAAGAATTCGAACAGAAAGCACAAGAACTGTCATCGCAAACTTCCGTATTTGAGGAAACAATTTCAACATTACAGAAAGATTTGATCAACGAAAAAGTGAACAACGAAAAATGTAAAAGCAACTTGGAGAAAATTTCCCTCAATTTGGATATTTTAGATAGTGATATTGACACGATCGTTAGTCACATGTTGAATAATGCGAAAATAAAAAAAATACTTTGTTCGGAAAATCGTCAGAACGACGAAAACGACGGAAATAAACAAGACGAAAACGTTGTTGCCGAATGCGAAAAACTCAAAACCGAAATACTCAATTTTCAGAATTTTAACGAAGCTTTACAAGCGGAAAATGCAAAATTGCAGGTCGATATTGCAACATTGAAATCGCAAGTGCATTCGTTGCAAACGCAACAGACCGCTTTGCAGTTGGCCAATAGCCAACTAGTGGCGGAAAAAGACGAGGTTTGTGACTTTACTCAAAGCCAATATTGCTTATTATTATTATTTTAATTTTCAGTTGTCCAAACAGCAAAAAATCCAAAATACTCAACACGACACTCTACTCCTGGATCAGATTACTCTTCGTTCATTGCACGAACAATTGACCACCGAATACGAACAGTTGAAAGCTGAACAAGAATTGTTGAAAAAACTCAACCGGGATCTCAGATCTGAAGTGCGCACTTTGAAAGAGACAAATTCGGGTCAGAAAGAGCGAATTTCCGCTCTAGAAGTCGAAAAAGAGTCGTTGAAAAACGGCGCGAAGAGTTTAGGAGTGCTGCGAGCAGAACATTCGAAATTAAAGGTGTGGTGTTTGTTAATGGTGGGTTTTTGTGTCAGTTGTGAGTTTTAGGATGATTTTCGGAATTTATTTACGGCGAGTGAACGACTGAAAGTCGAGTATAGGAACGTTCAGGAGGAATTGAAAAATGTTAGGACTGAATCGAGAACGTTACGTTTGGGACAGACTGAAATGCAAGGGGAATTGAATTCGACATCCGATCTTGTAGCAGGACTACAATTGGAAAATGCCAAGTTGCAACAGAAATGTGATGTAAGTGATTTTTTGTTTTCTGTGACTGAGACTAATACTTACGTATTTAAAAAATAGTTGACAATTGTGTTTTATCTTTGTTAAAAAATATGACATTTTAATTTTGACAGTCAATGTTGCCAACTTAATTTAAAAGCCACAGACTGCTTTGATTAGAAAATTATTAAAAGCATATGCATATTAAAAAAATCATCTCTTGATGTTTAAATATTGAATTTTGATAATTGAATTGAAGTGAATGTATTTTTAAGTCGATTTCTGGTTTCAAAACGTGTTAAATCGCGCGAAATTAGCTGTATTGCTATTATTCTGATCGAAAACGACGGTTTTTCCACTTGTTTTGCCAAAATCTCTGAATTTGATACGATTTCTGGCTTTAAAATGTTGGAATTGGCAGAAAAATAGCGTTATTACGTTGAATGATGAATTGTGGGCTTGTTTTCAAAAATCTTGCTAAATTAACGTTTTATTGTATTTATTTAGGGCAAAATCCTTTGGTTTCAGTCGATTTGTGACTTCAAAATACGCTAAAATTTCTCGAAATTAACTGAAAAAATTGCACTATTAACATTGTTATTCTGATCTAAAAAAACAATTTTTGTAATTTTTGCTAATAAAAATTTTTCCATTCACTAAAACAAAACAAACAGTTACTTTTTCTGATTTCTTTAATCAACGTTGAGGGTGAAAAAATTTTTTTTTCAAAAAAATCAAGGATATTGTAAGACGTTTATTCATTTTTTGACACTACACTTAGATTCCCTGTGCTGTCATTGGTTGCTGAGATATCGATGATCAAAGACAAAAAGATCTTTTTTCATTAAAAGTCAGAAATCTTATTTTTTATAAAAACAATTAATTTCTAAAATGTTGCTTAATTTCCCCTATTAATTTATTTTAAACAACACAATAATTAAATTTATTTGTAATAAAATATTAAACCATTGAATTTTTCTGCTTAAATAAAACAATTTCTCCAATAATTTAAATTTACTAGAACATAAAATCAATGATTTATCTACCATCATATTATTCTGAAAACTCAAACAAATTTTTTATGTCACCAAAGTACCCCCTAAAATTTTACCTAATTTTTATGAACTATAGAAAACCCTATATTTCTAAAATTCTAGTAAGAAAAAAATGTAAAGTTAAAACTTTTTCAGTGAAATTCTGAAAACTCAAACAAATTTTTTATGTCATCAAAATACCCCCAAAAATTTTATCTTCCTGTATTTCTAAAATTCTAGTAGGAAAAAAATGTAAAGTCAAAACTTTTTCAGTAAAAAATTGCTTAATAACCCAATAGTGTTACTTGAAATTTAAGCATAAAAATTTAATTAGAATTGTCTGCGTAATCAATTTTTTATTAAATATCAACTTTTCAATCCAATTAATACTGCTACGTTAATTAAAGTAAAATTTAGGAAACATTTTTGTTCTCTTAATTTTTTGGAGAGATAAATAATTTTTTAACAGAGAGATAAATTTATCTCACTTAAATCATAGTAACATCAATCACAACAACTATCGATCAGTTAAATTTTAACTGAGGTTAAATCGGACCTTTAGGCTGTTTTTTTTATCATTATAACTAGTGTCATATCAATTCCCCCTTTTTTTTAATTTTAACATTTAAAGGTCAATAATAGACCTCACCAACTCGCTGGGACACCCTCTATAATCTTTATATTTGATAAGTTTATTTACTAGGAGTATAATAATTAATATTAATTTAATTTTTGTTGTACAAAATCACAGCAACACGTACTTTGAGAATACTATATTAATGGTCAAGACTGCTGAAAAGCTCATTTTTTTGGTAAAAAATATCTTTGCAGTAAACTATCATGTTTTATAAAAACACAAAAAAAAGAAAAATGCCAAGTAAAATAACATTTCAGGAACATGAAAAAAATGTTAAAAAAATTTTATCTATAAGAATTTTAAAATTGTGGAAGTTTAGATTTTGCACTTTGACCCTATTTATTGTTTCTGTTGGAAAAATAATTTTACATGACTTAGTAGAGGAAACAAAGAAGCTGTAACCTGAATTGTAACTATACAGGATGCGCCAGAACTCGCGCCCCAGAGAAAATTGCCATATAAGGTAAGATACCAGGAACATGGAAAAAATTTGATCTACAAAAATTGCGAAGTTATGAAGGTTTAAAGTTTGCACTTTGACTCTATTTATTTCTGTTGGGAAAATAATTTTCCAAGTTTTTTTTGCTATAAGCTACTAAAAGAGGAAACAAGGAAGCTGTATCCTAAATTGTAACTCTGTTCAATGTTATTTGTGGCTTTTATTGGCAAAATTTTTGTACTTTTACTAAATAATTATAAAAAAAACATACACAAGATCATCAGTATAATTAAATAGATATAAAAAAAAGTCAAATTTCAAAAAATAAATTTCAAAATTTTTTGACAGAATTTATCTTACTTGAAATTTTTTTCTA